CAAACAATGTTCCTAACAGCAATAAAATTCTAGCAAATATCTGAAGACCCCAAGATTTTTTGAGACTCGCTTGTCGAGCACGTTATGTAGTATGAGACCTCTCATACGACAAAGGAAGGTTGAGGTAAGAGGGGCAAAATTGGCATTATAGGCGTAACGCTCAAGAATGCTCATGAAAATAAGGAATATGTTTCCCCGTCTCAGCTGTAGATGCTTTTCTGCAATTACAGAAGCGTGCTAGAGGGACACACTCGAGGTATTTCGATGTGTTGCGAACTCTGTACTTCCCAATTTCCATTTTTGCCTTCATCAAACGCTCACGAAGTTTTGGTAAAAATTTTGTGAAACCAGTCTCATTTTTAGCACGAATTTTACAATTCAACAATTTTGAGGACTTTGACCTTGATAATTTCTACTACTCTTAGGACTTGTACAGAATAAAAGGATCTCGAAGATGGGCTGCAAGAAGTATGCAGGTACGAGACCTCGCACCCCTATTACTGCGCTATAGCGACTTTGGTTCGAGATTCTGAAAAAATCTTGCCCATGCAAGATCAAACCGTTTAGGGGACATGGAAGATACGCATAGGCCTTCTGGTCACATAGTCAAGCATTAAAAAGGTTCAACCATCGAACGCATTTGATGTCCTCGGATGGAACATTTGAATGGTTTTTTGGACTTATGATTTTGACAGACCCTATACATGAAAGAGAAGGCTAGAAAATGACATTCTTTTCAAATCTTCCGAAGCTTATATACCAAACAGCCGTGCTATTAGACAAAACTAAAACTGTAATGCATTATTACATGACTAGCCTTCAATGAGAAATCTCTAATAAAACTAGTTCTTCACAGACGGAAAACCTCAACAAAATCATCACATTTGTGAGAGATGACACATGCCTAGATATCAAATATCATACCAAAAGACGGTTTCCGCACTTATTGTGTTTGCTCGACAATTGGCTGTCATTACAAATAGAATGCCTTATCCATAACATAGGCAAATACAATCAGTGATGTAGCGAGACGTAGATATCAAAGCGACACACAGGACTCGCACTATGGTGATCCTTGAATATATGAGAAGATCTATATGGCTTCGCAATCACGGAATCCTTGCAAAAAACTTTTTTGACTGAGCAGGTAAATGACTATCAAAGAACTTTATCCATAAGAATATTGAATTATGTGGGCATTCATGAGCATTGGCAACCCGCGGAAATCGCTCAGGGTATAGCCGTCCTCCCCCACTGAACACCTAGTGGACGAATTTGAGTTCTGAACTAGAGCGCAGCTGCTGCGGCAGAGCGCGGCGCCTGTAGCCCTTATTTCGATCTCAAACAGACTATTTTATGTTTTCCCAATGTTGTTTTATATCTTTTTTTTTTGAATGTTAACAGTTTTCTCACTTGGGGTTGAAGATCTTGTCGCTTTTGAGCGATGTTTCGTGCTGCTATGAGCGTTTCAAGTACTGTGATTTCAAATTGAGCTTGGAGAAACGACTAAGGTCAAAAACTGTGAAACCTTTTTCCTTTGTTAAGTAACATGTCTATAAGTGTCGCTTCATTGACTTCATATAAAAGACTCGACCCATGTGCATCATTTTTCCAACCTTACCTAGAAAAAGAGCTCAAAAGATGAGCATAGTAGTATGAAACACCGCTAAGGCAGCAACAAAGTCGTCGATTTTGATTACAAATGTCATCAAATTTGAAAAAAAAACACCGAGGAGAAAACACAAACGAATACAGCATGAGTTTGGAATGGATTTGACGCTTTGCTGCAACCTGCGTGCTCTGGCTCGCATTCGAACCATCCATTATATATACAGTAAGGCAAGAAAGACTAAGAGAAAGCTCGTTTCTTCTTGAAGATTTGCTTGTATAAAGTGGTAAAAATTTTTTGAGAAAAAGTAAAGTCATTTTTAGTGTTATCTCAAATAACATCTCAAAATAACAAGAATTCGAAGGTTTCTTAAAAATCCACATGCATGTATCGTTCATTCGTTGACCGTACGGACTGCCGACCGCGTGGCGACTGCGATGCGTGCCTTCTAAACTTGCGAAAAAGTGACAAGTTGGACCGTGGTTTAAGATGAGAAGAATTCTTTGTTTCTTTTCTACATTATAAAGATGAGAAGAATCCTCTGTTTTCATTCTATTCATCTTTTCTACGAAAACATCATGCACGCGCAGCGGTCGCCGCGCGGTCTGCAGTCGTTACGGTCAACGAATAAACGATAGTATGTTGCTTTTTTCGTCAAAAAGTAGAAGAGCCTATTCTTCTATTCAACATTTAGTTTGAGCCATCCTGCCGAGACTGTTATGGCAAAATAATGGTCATGGCATACTTTTTCTCGTAATAGTGAAAGATGTTCACAAGCATATGTACATGCTCGTGTAAGTAAATTACCGTATCCCCTTCTGCTTCTTCAGGATCACATCTCCCCACAAGCAAAGAGCTGAGACTTTTGACGGCAGTTTTCAATTTTCTTTCAATAGAGGAGGTGTATGCTACTACTTATGAAGAAAAAAGTGTTATGCTGCTACAAGGAAAAAACAGCGAAGTAGCCGCTTGCTAAGGCAGGGACTATGGAGGAGATAGTTTGGTTTGGCTTGGGCGGTATCAAACCTCGATACACAGCGGCGCCTCACACCACTTACCCAAAAGTCTGAGATTTTATTAGCAATTAATCAGGTCCTTACAGAACTATCATATGGCAACGCTAGTAGGAATATAAAGTGCAGCAGAGCTTTGTTTGCAGTGGATCTGCTAAACGAATTGCCTCGCGTAAATCCCTATAGATTTTACCAGCTGTGGGGTGCCAAGCGCGTAGAAGGAATGAAACCAAAGAAAGAAAAATTTAATTCATAATCAAGCTGTTTATCTTAAAATACACTACAAATGTCGCTGAAGCACCTTCTTCGCATCATATTCCCACTTAGCACTGCTTCATAGCTTGGACACATAGAAGTTGAATGTTGATTGGGCGCCAGCGGATTTCGATTTTTGGACGGTTAGCCCATTCACTGAACTGCAAGAGATGACCTCAACCAAAAATGCAAAGTAATGACAAACTCTATTTTGAAAAGAGGGAGACAAATAGGTGCGCCCCACCGCAGAAGGTGGATGAAAAAACTAATCTGTTACAAGTATCTGCTCTTATCGCAGTTTATTGTAGTTGGACTATTTTTGCAGTTTATTGTAATTGAATTTTTCTCAAAAAACCGAGGAAATACGCATGGTTGAAGGTACTGTTGAAAGCTAACTTTGTATTTCAGCAAGCATAAAAATTATTAATTATGTAAATGACCTTATATAGGTATTGTCTGCAAGAGAATAACATATTCTAATATCTGTCAAAATTGGAAAGTGTAATCACTTCTCTTTCTTGAGAACCCTTCAGTTATTTCGTATGTGCCCCAATTTTTACCGTTCATCCTAATATTTCTACCCAGTCTTCCCTCACCATGACGTGGATTTATGGATTGATGAAGCGCGTCTCGCTTCGCCATTGTCTAGCGCGAAGTGACGCCAAAAACAACGTAACAAAGCTTTTCCACATTGTTCTTGTTGCCACACCACGCCAAAGATGCGTCCGCGATGCAAGTCACGTTGCGGGTGCATTTTTGGTGTGGTGTGGCAACAAGAAAAATATGGAAAAGCTTTGCCACCTTGTTACGCTTGCTACGTAGGCGAGGCGGCGCCCAGCCACCACCAAACGCCTTATCACCCTCTGGCTAGTTGCGTCCCCCCCCCTCTGATTTCACAAGAAAAATTCGCATAAAGAGGAATAATGAATTACTTCCTATTTATGCGAATTTTTCTTGTGAAATCAGAGGGGGAACGCAACTAGCCAGAGGGTGATAAGGCGTTTGGTGGAATAAACATAAGATCTAAATCTCGCACCACTCTAGGCCTCTGAGGACGATAATTCGAAACGTAAGGCCGCATCAATAAAAGGCTTCACCAAACCTCGTATTGGCATAACAACATCAACATAATCATACGACATGCCGAGGTTTCAAGAAAAGAGGACAACCAAACTACTTTCTCAATTGTTTTACTTCTTCTTATTTTGCAAGTACAACTGTAAATTTTTAGCCCTTTAGTTTTCGGAAATTTTGATTTCAGCCAAAAACCCAAAAAGAGCTGATTTCGAATATTTCTCGGAAACTAGCGCTTGGAAAAAGCTGGATATTTACAGTTATACTTTTACTGCACTAAAGAATCACCTACTGTCAAACTGCCCAGCACTCTGAGAAAAACACGAATTTCAATTTCTCAGTTTCTAATGAAGGAAAAAATACAGCAACTGTGTATATGAAGGTTTGATGTCGATAGTATAGGTGTGTGTAAGTGATACGCCATAGAAAGTTTTCAAGGAAAATTATTTTATTTATTTCTCGATTATTTTTCCATTTTTTGTGCATATAGAACTTTCTGACCGTGGCACGGAATTATCATTACCAGTTTGTAGAGCTTGCTTGGCTCTATCAAACAGTATCCCCTCAAGGGTTCTTGGGGTTCTCCCAGTTGCTGCCACATGAAGCATATAAGAACCATTATTTTCTTGACAACTTATAGATCGAATAAAGGATAAAGGATGAAGGATTCGGCGTCTTCAATACCCTCTTAGGGCATGCGCCGAACGCACACACTAACTTCATAGTCGAGGAGGCGATTGTATGCGTGCGAGCCTATTACAATGACTTGCGGGGGCCAGCCGTTTTCAAGTCAGTGCTTTTATCCTCCCAGATTACTCTGGTACCAATTTACCGTCTCCGGAGGGTAGAGGGCTTGGTTGGCCCAGGGGCGGGGATCGAACCTGTGTCCGATCTGGTCATAGCGGCGCCTCATACCACTACGCCACTCGTCCCCTATAGATCGAAGCCTTTGGTTAATAAGCTAAGTAAGCATAAAGGCATACTAAGATCAGTGGATGTAAGATCAGTAGACCTCCTCAGCTTACATTAAAGATTTTTAGTCTGCTTATCATGAATATTACAAGAAAATGGTTCATCAAAAATGGAAGAAGCATTATGCGTAATGATAAAGAATGATAAAGAATTCAACAGCAACAGAAATGAATATGCTACTAAGAAACACCTCATACTCAGGCAGCGTACAGTTGCCCTAGTCGGTGTGCCAACGCCGTTCCAACGCTGTGTCAGGTGCTAGCTCCGTGGTGTAACCCATGTTCCTTTACCCCGTATGATCTAGCATGGCGCCGGCAAGGGCAACTTTAAACGCGGCCTCAACTGCGAGTTATATGCCTAGATACTCCTTACACAAATATGTCGACTTGCTATCGCGAACCACAGAAAAGCAGTTTTTTGAATGTTCGCCGAAGAGAGCACTTCTTCTTTGGTGGATAGGGGAGAACAATGGAAGGGATGTCGAAAGAGGAATGCTTCCTGGAATGGGCAAAGTCCACCATGAGATCCGTTGAGTCTTTGATGTTGTCATCGAGAGTACTGTACCCGCGTATTCGCCGAAGTGGACATCGTGGGATCAGCTTACGAAAAGCAAAAGATTTCCTTCGAATTGGCGAGGGAATTGGCAACGACGAAATGGAGGCATTGTCCTGAAAAATATGGATTTTGAGGCAAATTTGGGACATACAACTCAAATATACACTTAGTTCAAGATAACTCTGCACAACAAAAGTGTATATGTATTGCTTCTTTTACCCCAAATTTACGGGAACTAGAGGAACTGCTCTCTCTTTCACACAATTCTTTTAAGTAGCAGCAGTGTAAAGGTCTTTTGACTTCACAATTTTTTGGCTAGTAAAGTTTGAAAAAAGGGTTCGTCTTGTACTCGTAAGAATAGGGCAAATCTCCCCTTATCCTGCGGTTATGTTGAACTGCAGTTCTGCCAAAAAAAGGAAATCCTCGTAAAAAATAGTTCACCATTTTTTGTTATGCTTTAAAGAAACATATGTACAATAAGTTTCGACCCGCTTTAGGCGGAAATTGGACTGGCGGGAGTCCGCCTCGCAACAGCTCGCGCCGTTTCGCAGCTACTACCCTATCGTGCTGAGAACCCATGTCTGCGTCTCTTCAATCTCCTTAGTCTTTGTTTGGCAAAATGCCAGCGCTATGCGTTCGCAAAGCCTCCAGCGATGCGCATGCGCTGCTCCACATAGAATGTCTCGCCTAATCCGGGATGAAACCGACTGTAGCTTTTTTACCAAAACTTCTCATGTCGAAAAATTTGTATCGAACGTTGTATCTTTGATACAAATTTTTATCGGCTCAAAGCATCTAGCAAATATTTTTTGAAAATACTATGAGAATCACTTCCTCTTTGAACTATCAAAAGTGATGAGTCAATATTTATACAGCGTTCGATAAGCACTGAGATAACTTTGAGAGGTCATTTGGAGTTGAAATAATTCCTAGGCTTAACTCTGAATTGTCAGAATTGTTAACATCCGTGAACTTCAAAAAAGGAATACGGTAGAGCCCTTTGAAACTATAAAACTGGACTTCAAACAAAAGATTTTGCAAAAAAATTTCGTATAACGTATGATAACAGATTTCTTATCTAGTATTTATTTACCATTAAAAAATTAAACATCGCCTGATTAAAGTGCATTAAAAAAAAGATTAAGCCCTTACCAGATCCTCAAGCTTTCGCAACTCCTGAATGTCGACAAAGCCAACAGAATTTTCATCAAAATCGCTGTGGGACATATTTAGATTGGCGGGGCACAAGTGATAGTCGTCGATACACTTTGCTGTATATGCTGTTATCTGAATAACTGTTAATCAACTTCAAAGCTTTTTGAAATTTACTTTTTCAAAATACTATGAAGTTTGCGTGAAACAGTCCTGATTTATAATTCCAAAATTTATCAAAATTTTGTAGTTTCCACGTATCGTCATACTGTGCAATCATTTCCGATATGAATTAATAGCCCCATCCGTGCGAAGAGAGTGATTCCATTTATTTGTTTTGAAATGTAATGCGAAGATTCATCGAATTCACTATTCAACAAAGCTCCAAACAATTTTCTGGTCTTCACAGATTGATTCTTTTTGATTTTCATTAGCGGAACATCGGTTCACTGATAGGTTATAGTATACTTGTTCAAATGTGCGAGTAAAAGTCAGTGTCTACACAACTGAAGTAAAGCTGTCTCCACAGATTTTGTGAACGGACCCCTTATCAAGTCATTGCTAGAGTTCGACTCGATTCTCTTCCTCTTCTCCCTCCCCCCAAAGCTTGTACAGGTTCAGCAAGGCCCCATAATAGGCACCCTGATGGTGGTACCACCTTGAAGGCAGTGTCCGGGCAGATTCGCGCTCTGAGGGTGATATTGCTAGGTGGGGTTCCAGGTCATCCCACTGACCTCTAGGCGCAGTCAGGCTGGTTAATGTTCCCTCCGGGCCGAGAAAATAGTCCTCCAATCGGCGCGCGCTCGGACGTTCGCTCACCGTTCGGCGCGGGATCCCGCAACGGCTTTCGCGCAGTGCATGCTACCCAAAGCAAAAATTACAGGCAGCAGGGTATTCGTGCCAGGGCCTTCCAACATCCCACTGAAACTCTCGTCCGAGCTGCCTTTAGGAAATTGGGTAAACGCCCGAAAAAGGCCTTTTCATCCGTTTCAAAGCCCAAATTCGGCATCTACGGGTCGAAAAGGCCCAAAACATGCGAAAAGATGGAAATGCGAAATCCGTCGGGACACTGCCTTTAGCGTATTCTGTGGAAGTCAGAATTACTTCTTACATGCAAGTAGCTTCTATGGCTAAGATGGAAAAGTTATGGTATGACCTCGTGCCCCTTGAAAAATTCCTGCATAAAAACCATTTTATTAGAGTTTCATCTCTTTTACCCAAAAAATCTGATGATTTTACTATGATTTCATTTTCACCCAAAACATTTAACTGGTTGCAGTGATTTTACTTCCTCTCTCAAAAAAAATTCTTACCGAGTATGTGCTCGACGTTGATGAAGATGGCCCGCACGCACATTTGTGCTTTGGTTTTCGCAATCGTGGAGGAAGAGGGGGCGGAACGTCGCTGTAAGCATGATTTCAGCTTATCCACACATCGCTTGAGCTCACAAACTAACTTACGGTGTATAATGTGGATCTATGGTTGTTGTTAATCCAACCATGCCAGATAGTAACCGCGGTGGAGTGGATGAAACCATGCTGAAGTGGAATTTGAGTCATTGATGATTTGGAATTTGAAACGGACATGGAGAGAGTGTGCGCTAGAAAGAGGGAACGAGGCAAGTATCGGGCGATGATAGTGACTTTCGACGGGCACAACCGGAAACGATTATCGCTTACGTTATCAAAGGAAAACGACGAAAATTCATCGCTCTCCGAGCGAGTGTTTACCCGATGGTGCCCTGAACCATTTTTGTATTTTTACCATGTGAGCGGGGCTACGAAGAAATTTGTGCACTTACATAGACCTCGTGGCTACTTAAGTATGTATGTGACGCGTCATCAGAGGAAATCGTAAAAAAAGTTGAAAGGGAATTGCGTTTGAATCTGATAAGATTAGAGAACAAAAAAAATGACAAAAAGAAAAACGGTCAGAGTGTCATTGGCTTGCGTTCAATTGCACTTTTTTCTGATTCACCGTTGACATGCTTACTGACTAGGCTACATAGAACAGTCGTTCAGAATTTGAGTGGGTGAGAAATTGCAAGCTCTTGTAGCTGGTCACTGATATAGCACTTTAATCAACGTATTTGGACACTATTCCGCACATTAATAACATGGATATATTGGTTTACTTTCCACTTTTCTGCTAGGTTGGCGGATAACTTCTGTTACGCCTCCAGTTCCCATTCTTAGAAGTTTCAAGAGCTTTCGAAATCTTATGCTCACATGTGAAAAGGTTTTAAAGATCTAATTTTTCTCAAGTTTTGAATTTTCATGAATTTTTTTACCCCTGTGAAACGCTAACAGTGCAATACATTTTAAAATACTACAGAAGAGAGGAAGCACAACTAGACGTAGAGAAGAAAATTAAAGGAAACTCAAAAATGTGGCGATTTTAAAACTGTCGTAAACTTGTCTTTCATTCACGATTTGTCGCATCAGTCATGCTTATGGGCAGACCCGGTTGAGTCCTAAGTATGACGCAAATTTGAAGTTCCAAGGAAGCTTCAGAATCGTTCAGAATAGATAGAAAGAGTGTAACAATTATTCTTCAGCTAATCGTAAGAAGCATATCGGCTAACAAGCTTCAAGGATTGCTTAAAACTATAAAGAGCACGAATAAGATAGTATAAATTGAAATTTTCACGGTGAAACAAGTTTGAAAAATTTCGTCAAAAAAAAAGAATCAAGCACAGAACGCAACTCAAGGTAGTTGATGAGTTGTTCTGAGTTGATGCAAGAAGACAGTAGACAACGTTCTAGGAAAACTTGGAAATCACCTGAGCTTATCATTCCCTCTGCTGCCATGGATCATGCGTGCGTGGGTAGTTCAGTGATTCACCCGTAGACTAGGCAAACTTTCAGCGTCTTTTTCAAATCTTCATCATCGGGAAAAAGCTGAAAAAAAGAAAGCTTTCCCCCTTTTCAAGAAGAACAAGGCAAAATACAGGACAAGATTTAAGAACAGGAATAATCAGTAGCAAATTTTGTGGAGGAGACATGTTTGGGATTTTAGTACGTAGCTCAAAGATTATTTGAAGCGAAATAGAGCTATAATAGTACTTTCTCATATCTACTTTCGCATTTTAATTTATCTAGGTTAAAAGAGATGGTGAAAAGACGCAAAGTCGGTGGTTACTGGAAATCTACGGATTCGAAATCGTCAAATCTTCCGAAGTGGAATGAGATATTTATTCTGTTTTTTTATGTAGATGGCAGTGGCGATCCTAGGATATCTATTTGTGGGGGATGGGCCCAAAAATCAATCGAATGGATTTGCGTGGCGTCAACCATATGCATTTTTGCATTTGGGATGCCTTTCAAAATTTTTGGAGGCCCATAGCCAAGACTTTAGAAAAGTGGAAGGGTATTTGAATTTTCAAATTTTCTTGAAAACTAGTTAAATTAGTTACACTTATTTACAAGTATAAACAAGTTGCATATTTGCTGACCCATGTAAGCAACTTTCAGCAAATCCCCCCCCCCCCCCCACTCGTTACACTGGTAGAAGGACGCCAGCGTGATCTCGGACCTTTTGGCGTTAGATAGCCTATAGAAAGAACAATAGTTGGAAAACTTGTTGTTTACAGTATATCGATAACTATTGTCGTAATTATGACATGAGACTTGAACTGGAGTTGAGTTAATGGTGATTTATTTATGCCCGCATTCCTCAGACTGGTTTGGTACTTCGATTTTGATCAGTTTTCTGAATTTTCAAATTTTTATATATTCTCTAATTTAACATTCGACATCAGACAAAGTTGGTCTTATGACTTATTTTCGAAAATTCGTTTTATCGACACCTTCTGAAAAATTGTCGATAAAACGAATCATGTTGATGCTGTATTTCCAAAGAAAGTAAAGTCAGCACAACGGAAGTGGTCCTTTGATTTTAGCCTTGTGATTTCAGCCAGAAAATGCTGACGTTACATGGCTCACCATGTTTATCCGATATAACTACACACAGCACTCAAAGAGCGATAAACTAGCACCCAAAAAGCGATAAGACCAAAGGAAAGCACTACTCGAAAAGCAGGAGCAGGAACCATAGCGTAGGCTATGTGGAAATCATTGAAAGCAGCAACTTTGAATGACGCATTGCTAGACTCTTCTCTAATGATTCGAAAAGCTGAAATTGTTTTGTTTTGTGTGACATCACAGAGTCAACGATAATGGATGAAACCTCGTGACTGGAGACAACTTGACTCACCGCTTAAGTTTACGGATTATATCAAATTTTCTAATTTTTTAATTCTGTGCAAATGATCTCAAAGATTTCTATTTACTTAACCTTATTTGCCAATTACGCATTTTCGTGTTTTTGCTCCTCTAAATCTAACTGTATGAGAAGCCTTTTTGAAATTCATTCCAATTAGTTTAGCTACTAGAGGCCCCACTCCCTCTAAACTTGGGCCATAATTTTGTGGTATTAGGAAGTCAAAACATACAGTCGTTTTGTTCTTACAGACTGGACAAATCAGAAGTACTTGCAGAACTTAAAATTTCCACATTTATTCTTCCTACAAGAATTCTTGCAAACAGTTATAAATTGACCGGGACAGTAAGTTATCAGTAGCTAAGCTTAATTCAAACATTTCGTTTTCAACAGACAGCAATTCGTGTTCTCACAATTTTGTGCAATGACCCATTCTCAGTTTTGCAGGTTTCCTCAAGGAACTGGAGGTTTTGATGTGAATACTTGATGCTAGCAGAAACATGGAGTGAAAGTCAAATCTGCATTCTTAGCGGGAAACTTCTATAAGTTTCTAATGTAAAGCATTTGGAGGTAAACTTCTTGAAATTCTAAAATTCTTAACTAATAATAAGGGTCACGTTAAGTCGGGAAACGAAAGACATGCTGTACTTAGCTCTTTTTGCTTCATTTATAATTCTGCTATAATGGCGTCGGAACTGTCAGAACTAGGCTTCGTCCCCTTACAATTCTAAAATTTCGAGTGTAGTACCTCTTCATGAGTTGCTAAATACTACGCATGCACAAAAGCTGATCATCAGAGTGCGCTATCTAACAAAGCGAGTTATGAAAAACTGAGGAAAAACAAGGGGAAAGAAAATGAAAATGTTATGAAAATCAATGCCTAGAAATGGATTCTTGGCAGGGGAGTCCGTCCATGATGGGAAAATCTGAAACTTTGAACTTACAAGTATATAGGCTCCAGATGATCTCAGATCGTCCGCTAGCCGTTTGGAAACGGACTAAAAAAGGTACCACTTCACATTTTTTGAAACTTTTCACATGACTCTTCCTTAAATGCCGTATTTTATGCCTACATTTCAAATTTGGTGTCATATGCTTATCTCTACGCTGTAAACAAGCAATTTGGCTTTGCTTTCGAATCTCACGCGCTTTTCGCAAGACACGAAAGAGCACGTCCATCGTGTAATAACCTGTCTTCAAAGTTTATGTTTGACTAAGGGCCGCATGCACTAATATCCCCGCGGGGAGGGGATCGCAGCTTCAGAAGAAAGCTTCATGTCCTGAAGCTCCGGATATCTGGATTTCACGCTGTCTACTTATCCGTAAGTATTCCTACTACCCTTCACTATGAACATGTTGAACAGGAGCGAGAAGCTGTACAAACCGCATTTTCCAGCTTTTGTATGATCCCTGATGATCCCCGGCGCTTTTCTTTGAAGTCATTTTTCTTTCTCCGAAGTTAACGAAAACCTTCCAAAGTTGTACTGAACATCTAACACAATACTGCTAAGCATGTTGCTGATGAGAACAAATGAGTTTTTGAAAAGTCGAATTTTTCGCTAAACCTCAAATTTCGACCTGTGGATCATCGCAAATTTCATGACTTCAAAACACCATTTGTTCTTAGCAGCAACATGTTTAGCACTGTCGGGTTAGACAATCTGCACAACTCTGGAGACTCTTCGTTAACTTCGGAGAAAGAAAAATGACTTTGAAGAAAAGCGCCAGGGATCATCAGGGATCATACAAAAGCTGGAAAATGCTGTTTGTACAGCTTCTCGCTCCTCTTCAACATGTTCATAGTTGAAAGTAGTAGGAATACTTACGGATAGGTACACAACGTGAAATCCAGGTATCTGGATTTCGAAATATAAAGCTTTCTTTTGAGTTGCGATCCCCTCCCCGCGGGGATGTTAGTGCATGCGGCCCTAAGTGGTCGCTTCTGGCGCTAGGAAGTGTGCTGAATTGTCTTGCACACTGTATGTGCAGTTCTCCGCACATGCTTCGCTAGCAATGCATGTACACATTTTTCCGGTGCTCATCCCCGGACTTCAGGAAAACGATATCCCCTTTGCTTTTTGTCTTAAAAACAAAGTTCAGCCTGCTTCCAGACGATCTATGCTGGGCGCTGAACTAGAAGGGTCGTCGCTACTTGAGAAGAGCAGATAAAAGTGAATTTTACTGTATAAAGATCTGCATTATTCATTCTTTATCAAGATAGAAGCATGTCATTCTCACCCCTCTATGAGAAAGGAGTTTTTGAAACCGAATGTCAAAGACTCCGATTTTTAGACTTGAGAAACCGTATAGCTGTAGCTTGGACACCGTTGCTAGCGGAGAACGTACCAAGTGCACTTTTTCCGTGCATGAATTTCATCTGTGGATGTACTTTCAAATCGCTAAAAGGACATTATAGTTGCCATAAATTGCTGCCGCTAGGACAAGGATGTGAGAACTCGCGGAGTATATAGAAGATGTTGCTTGGCAAGTCGTGCCCTTGCCAACAAGCAAATGTACTTGATCATGTGCATGTTTGAGGAATGAAAATAATAGAACATTGTGCGCGGAACGGCAAGCTACTCGACGACTGGATTCATTCGGCGCTGTGATAAGCATAGCTGCTTTGAAGTACACATCTTGCCAGGTTGGCGGTCTTCACGAGAATGAAGTACGGATTGGCTTCACTGCAAATCAGCACCATGTGGCTTCTCATCACAGCATCTATGTGTCAGGTGGGTATCCTCAAAAATATGATTTGATGATATAAATATGCTAGTGACGCAAATGATAAGTGTGCTCCCCCCCCCTTCTGAGAAAGAAGATTTACAAAAAAACCAAAAAATAAAAACATTCTCAGGGCGCGACTCCTTCTACGCCTTTTTCCAATTTCAGTGATTGGGCGTCACTCAAATTCGGAAATCGTTAGAAACCTTTCTGAAGGCTGTCTCAACATTTAAAAAAAAATCTCTGCCGGTTCCGTGCCCTACCCTTGACAGAATGACCCGAATTACCCCATTCGGCTCAGTTAAACAAATATATCCCTCAGAACTTCCTCAGTTGAACCAAAACCGCCCATCTTTCCATGCTTTAAGATGGCAAGTTGAACAGTCGTCCGGTCAATTGCCACTTTAGAGTACTGCCAGTAAGATGAACGTAGATTGTAAGTTGAACTAGAGAAAATAGTGTGCAAAAGCGGAGAATCAGGCAAAAATCCCGTAAGTTGCTCGTCGGTAAATTATAGGGCATTTTAGTCGACGCATTTTTGCGCTTAATGTCCTCTTTGCTTCATACATTGCTGGACATAATTTTGAAGATAAAACTGTCGTAATTTTCGTTCTTTCAATGAAGCTGTCCGAAACTTTGCTATGTAATGCGCATGTTAGCCTACCATGATCCCTCCAAAGGGCATCCAATTTTGTTGAGCTCGAACGGAGAAAAATAGAAAAATTCGAGAAACCCTTTACCGAAAGCTGGACAAAATTATAAAGACACCTGGTTTTTCTGAGCACCATCCCATTCCCTAACTTTGAATTTTTTTTGTACAGTTACATACTGAAAATATGAAACATTTGCAACATTTGCGATCTGCCATCCTTTTCAAGGGGAAATGATCACTGCATATTTTGCTTCCAAAAGCATCAAAAGTCAATATGCTTCAACAAACAGCTGATTTAAGGAGCT